CATAATTTTTCTTCTATGCAAACTAATGATAATGATAATGATGATTATTCATTTGATATTAATAAATATCGTTATTTAGAAATGCTTACAACAAAAACATTAAATCAAACAATAGATGAACAAAAATTATCACCAAAATATCGAATAAAATTAAATAATCTTGATCGATTAGATGAAATTTTTTCTATTCAATGTGAACAAAATTCATCGAGAATAATATCACAAATAAATCATAATGATTTATCTAGAGAAACTACACCAACACAAAGACGTATGTCAATTGGTTAGTATCATTAAACAAAAATAAAAACAACGAGAGAACTGTCTCACGGGAACAATCTATAAATGAATCTTGTTCAAGTCTAACCAGATTCTTCAGTGATGGATCGAAAATTTTGAGGATAAGAGAATAATCATGATCTCAAAACATGTTTTTAATATGGTGTCAGCTCATTTTTAGGCGTTTTCTACTGAAAAAAAATCGAAAAATAATTTGGAAACGAAGGATGATTGTCTCCAGTGCCACCTTTCTCAGTTCACTACTCATAAAACTCCATAGTTCATATTGCTTTCATAATATCTTCGAATTTTGATAATTTTAAAAAGAAAATGACAGATAAAATTCATTTCCGACATTCTCAATATTAGTCATTAGTTGCAAAGTAATTGCAATGATTCTCTCAAACCTTACAAAAAACAAGACTATTAATTCCATTAAAGTAGTAATTTTCAAATTTTCATATATATATATATCTATCTATGTAGAAACATCAACATCAACAAATATGACAGATGAATATGATAATCTTTCAAAAGATAATTATGGTCATTATAGTGTATCCTATCAAGATACATTAAGAAGTTCATTAAAAAATCTTGAAAAATGGAGTTATCCACTTCATGCCGGTAATTATTTTATTCCACTTTTTACACCATATCGTCAAAGTTCTCTTGTATTATATTGTCTTAATCGTGAATCATTTATTTGTTATAATTCTCAATCATTATTATCATTACCAACAATAATTAAATGGCGTGGTACACGTCCATCAGCTGCTTATTGGTTTGATGAAATGAATATGTTATTTGTTGCTTGTTGTACACATATTTATGGTTGTTATTTAGATGAAGATATTCAAGAAAATCAACGAATTCAAATTCGTATACCTATTGAACAAACATCAACATGGTCTGATACGCAAGGTCAATTATGTTGGCCGAAATTTTTAACATGTGGTAGTACAATTAATCGATTATTTTATGGATTTTGGACGGAAATGTTAAATAAAGATGCACCACCATCAACATCATTTATTTATTATGAGATTCAAGGAAAGGATTATTTAATAAAATCTCGTTTTTCACTTGATGGTCGTTTACGTGCATTACATTCAACATTATCAACACAACGTCTTGGATTATTAATTGAACAATTACCAAGTCAATGTACTTATTTAGAAATTCGTACATTAGAAGAATTTTCACTTTTAGCTAAATTTGAATTACGTACAATATTTGAAAAATTTCGTTATGGTTGTTGTTTAACAAATATACTTAATTCAAATTCATATATATTATGTGATCATAAACAAAATCAATTATGGTATGTTAATGGAGATACAGGAGATATTAAAGTTAAACATATAAATGAATCTATTTATAGTGTTATATGTTTATTAGATGGTACATTAGCAATTTTATTAGGTTCACCAATGAGATTTGATTTTATTTATGATCCAAATGATAGTGGAATGGTTTTAAAAGATCTTTTTCGTGAAGAAGAATCATTTGAAGTGTAACAAAAAAAAAAAAAAGAAAATATCAAATTTTTATATTATGTTGTTTCATAACAAAAAAAAAGAAAAAAAGATGAATGTTTGGATGATTTTGTGCGTTATGTATTATTTCACAGTCATCAATAAACTGAATAACAGTGCAGTTGTAGATCCATAAACATTTGATATTATTGATTTGTTAAGTACTCTTGAATATATTCTAAAATATTTACTTGACTATGGCATTAGAGTATTAATCAATTTTATAGTATATTTACTATTAATATTTTAATTCAAATGATACAAAAGTCATTTGTTATAATCAAAAATGTAAAAGAAATTTACGTCTTCATAGTTTTGTAGTTTTAATATAAAATCTAAAATATTACGACAAAGAAATTATCTAATCTTCTCAAGGAGATTTTTTTATAACATGTGTCTTCTATCATATTTAGCTAATCTGTTGGTTTTTTTTTGGTATGAATTGTAACATTAGTTTGTTAGACTAAGAATACATCTGTTTAATGATGTATAAGATCGATAAGTTTGGCAAAATAAATTGTTTCTATAGAATTCTTTTCTACTTGTAGACAAAATACATCCTGCTCGGATACATATCGTGTGATATATTTATCCACGAGAATGTTTACTAGGAAATCGAATGCATTTCACAAGTTTCTCAATAACTTGACAGATAAGAGATAGTTAATCATCGAATGGATCATGCATCAATCATCGAAAGATAAAAGAAAGAATGATATAAATCATGGATATATTTTTGTAAACCATGTCACAGTGTCAGTCGAGTAAACTACTGATAGTCGACAAAATGTCTTCATTAATTGTACTATTATTTAGTGACTAAAGAAATGTTTTTTAAAAAAATTTGTATCTGAAGGACATATACTCTTACAAAAGATTTTTTTCATATCTTCATTTTTTCTTTTCTTTGCATTAGGCAAATCAAAAAAAACGTATACTACTTTTTTCTACTAAAAGCTACTATTGTACAGAGCAAAAGTACGACTTTTGAAATTGATCTGATCTCTTTCCTTTTTTCCTATAGTTAGATCAAACTACACCTCATAAAAAGTACTATGTCTAGTTGTTCTATCGTATATAGACGAGATCAATAGTTGATTTTTTTAATTGTTTTATCAGTGACTCTTCTGACACCAGCATCAATCGTAAAAGATTAACTATACATAATCAGAATCAATCATCATCAGTCAATTTTATCGTGATCTCAACTCAAAATGAGGCAACCTTTTTATAAGTGTTCTGAGACTGATACATAATATGTAATGAGCCAATACAAGTAATCTCCACGAATTACTGCATGTTTTTTTTTATTGATCCCAATTAACGATTTTTTTTTCTACATTTTCTAAATAAAAGATATAGAGAAGAATATTTCCTGATTCAGGTGAATGAATTTGATCGGATCCTGAGAGATCCAACTACTTGACAAAATCCAATGGGGATCCGAATACTAGAATCATCAATGAAATCTGACGCTTGAATTGTTCTCTCTTTCTTGAAACTTCCAAATCTTGATTTTAAAGAATTCCAAGTTCATGTTTGTCTAGACGGGTGAGTCATATGTGTGAAAAATCAATTGCAAATAAAGCAAGTCAGGAGTGAACTTCATAGAAAGAACTCGACATGTTAACTCAAAATTTAGAGTTTACTTATTTCTCATTCAGTAATCAGTGCTACGTCCTAACATTCACGATCTGTATGTAATTCCATCATCCAATTTCCATAATATTTCTACAGAATTTTATCAGATTTCAATAATATCCGATTGTCGAATTGATTTTCTTGAATATTTTTATTTCAAAATATAAAATTTATAATATTCAATTAAGTTAATTACTAACTATTTTTTTTCCTATTCAGGATAATTAAATTTTTATACTTTATTTTGGTAATCTGTTCTTGTAATAAGGAAAATAACATACACAAAAAAAAAAGAAAAGAAAGACAACAACAACGAGCTACAAATCACCATTACATTTAGAGATAATATCGGCATTAGTTTTTTTTGTTTTTTTTGTCTATCGAAATGAATACATACGTTTTATCATATTATTTACCTTAATAAGCATCACTTGAATATCGCAAAAAACGCGAAAAATACAAGATAGAAAAAAAAAAGTTTAGTTTCCAAAAAGAAAAGGAAACAATATCAAAAGAAAAAAAGAGATGGGAGAGGAAAGAATAATCATCAAGTAAGCAAGGCAAAAAGACAATAATAACAATAATACTTCACTTTTATTTATTTTTTTTCGTTTCTAATTGTATAATCAAATTTTCTATACAAATTATATAAAAAATAGAAGACTATCTAAAGATCAAGATGATGCATTTTGTCGTTTTTCAGCTTGTGTTATATAATCTTGAATATGTTGTTCAAAATCATCCATTGAACTATCAATTGAAATTGGCTAAAATGATTTAATAGAAAAAGAAAAAGAAAGATAATTAAAAAAAAACAAATCAATAGAAAATAATTAACAAACCATTCCAGTTAAATTAAGTAATTCAGTTACTTCAGCTTGTATACGTTGAGCTGATGTACGCCAACGTGCTTCATCAGCTTTACGTTGTTCAACAATCTAAATAGATAAAGAAGTATTTTTTTTTCTTTGTGAAACAAATCAAAAGTTTTCTTTTTTTTTTTTATTTACTTGAGTCATTTTTTCTCGATATGATTGCATAAATAATTCAACATCAAATCGGCTAAGTTCATCATAACTCATTGATGTTATTTGTTCACGTGTTAAATCCCAATCTGGTGGTAACATAAACTAGAAGATATAATTTTTTTTGTTTATTTAAAAAATTTAATTTCATATAGAAAGAAAAAATTCTTTACTTTAATTAATGCTTTAAATTTTCTTACAATACTAAATAATGGTTCATTATCATTTTTCGTTGTTTCAGTAGTTGTAGATGATGACGATGGTGCTGGTGGAGTAGCAACATAAGACCAAGCTGGTGATTTATAACTGAATGAATAATCAAATTCAGCTGTTGGAAATTCATCGAAACGCATTTTAAATATACCACGTTTATCATTTACATTTAATACTTTTCCTGTACGCTGAGCACCTTGATACATAGCCATTACACGTGCACCAATTGTTGGTGGTGGAAGACGACCATTTATATTTGTATCATTATTATCTATAGTTTCATTGTTATTAGTATCATCATCAATCGAATTAACATTATTTGTTGATGTTACTGAATCTGATGGAGTTGTTTGATTTTGAGTTTTTTTTGATGTACGTGAAGACTAATGAAAAGATAGATAAATTCAACATAATTTCTTAAAATTGAAATTTTTTTTCTTTAGTTTAGACACGCCGTAGAATAGAACTTAACAATAACAGATAAATTCCTTGAATAAGAAGGAACAAAATAAACCTATATTGATGTTGCCTTTCAGAC